GACCCTGCGATTAGCTCATACATCAATAGCTAAAGAGAACGCAGCTGAGGCCTCATCAACATCACAGCACATGAACTGTGTTCCTGCCCGGTAGCCCTTGTTAAAAACTTCCACAGCGACTAACAATTACAAAGACAGCATGGAAGATCATTGCACATAAAATGCTCTCTTTGTTCCAATGCCCAGACAGCGCTCTCAGCGCTGGGAGAACAGATGGATTTGGTTCGGCAAGGAAGCTAGGGGACGTTCTTCAGCACCAATCCCATAATTGAAAATGGAAACCGCACTGATCTGATATCATTGTGTAAGCAATATATAAGAAGCATCGTGTATAGCAACAATGGGAAATTAACATCAAATAATTAAAATTATGCTATGGATTTATAAAAAACAACTGGGTAAATGACAATTTGACAAACCCAAATGATGCACAGGGTATAATGGTCTGCAGGGGTCCTCTATATGATAAAATTTTTCTGTTTTTTTCCCTGCATACTTTCTGCATGACTTTGCGGACAATTGTCTTATTTAATATTAATTTTTAACAATAATTGAATAATATTTTTTCTAAAGATTATGCGATTATTATCAATTTTTATTGAGGCTTTTTTCTATGATGTCAGGACAATTATATCACCCTGACATTTTTTTTTACTTTAAAAAATGCCAAAAAGAATTCAGAAAAAAAAAAAACATTCGTCACTGTATGTATAAATTGCATTTTAATATCTTTTTTAAAATAATGTATAAAAATACATGCCAAATTCTTAAAATATTGAAATATATACATGAGTTAACTTAACTAAGTTAAGTCTTGCTGGACAGAAAACTACAAAAGCAATACATCACACCTGCTACATTGTCATATTCAACAGCAACAAATGTTAACAGTGTGATGTTCTGATGAAGCTGGTTGACCAGCTAGTTAAGAGCTAGTTGCGAGCTAAGAAGCCTGATTGGGAGACCAGCATCCAAAACACAACATATGCTGGTAATCAGCCATTCTGCTCTATTCAACAAAGTATGCACATAACAGGGAACATCACTTTCCCAGGACTGAAGGTTACGGCATTACATTGTTTAATGGAGAGCAGCCTAGTTACAGAGACTCTGATTATCACATCTTTCCATGATGGAAGACATTCACAGCAAAATGCTTCTTTGCGGTCATGGCTTGCGCCCCTCCGTGCTGCCTCAGCTCACGATAAAGTCTAACAGTCATTTCCTGATGGACCTCCTTCAAAAGAATCTTTTAATGTGATTGTCAGATTTCAGCCTGCAGTTATAGGCTAAGTGAGATTAAACTGAAGTACAAAGATGGGCTGGATGATGCGGTGCACATAACAAAGAGTCAGCCCGTCTAAATTGGCCCATGAAACTATGCATGCATTCTGGATCACTATTGACATGCATTGGTCATTTCTATGTGCTATACAAAGCAGCAAAAACTTAAGTTGCCTATCTTTTCGAGAGGGAAGCCAACAAAAAAAAAAAACAATTAGCCTAAATCACACTCTGGCTTATCCATTTAGCATGCAGCAATGAAATGACATAGGCTAACCTATATTTTTTGTGATGCATCACCTGCATGATGAAGGAGCTGAGCTTGCATTGCTTTCACCTTGGTCTAATTTGCCCGGTCAGGGTGACTCTTGCTGACTGCATTTCTATAACATAGATCTCTCTCAATCTACAGTAGAGAGGCTATCACAGACACCATGTTTGTGTGTGTGCTCTGTCCTTACGTGACCCTGGATTAGCCTGCATGTCATTTGCCAACAGTGACTGCAGTGAATGGCCTGTCTACTAAATGAAGTTTTATGTAACAAAGTTCGGGAGGAGCATGTTCAGGTAATCATCCAATCAGCACAAGAAGAAGCCAGTATAAATAAAGCCTTCCCTTACCTCCTGTCTCATGACTTCTTTCTCAGCATCCCTCCACCACCCCTTCACCCCACATTCGGCGGGGTCCGCTCATAGATACCCATGACCTCTAAGGTTAGGGGGGAGTACTCTGGGGTCGGGCCGAATTCTGAGCTCGGAGCCCTCCCCCCGGACAGCAAGCCAAATACGCATTATTATATTACATCAGATTTCATTAACATGTAAACTCGTGAAATGTATACTTGAAATGACCCTAAATCACTTTGCACAATACAGAAAAACACGTGAGGTAAACTGCTGATTTGACAAAGCCTCAAGTCTCATTCTCTCTTCAAATTACATACTCGTTGGATTTATGATTCATGCATGAAAAGACATTCATCGTGTAAAAGGATTCATATACCCAGGCAAAATTGTTGAAATTAAAAGAACAAATAGTGTACTTATTTGTTATTTATTCTACTCTAATCAATTTACTTGTATTTTTTATCAATTTACTAAATATATGCATGAATTGACCAGGCTGATATATTAAAAACCACACAAAAAGTTTCAGAATCCCTTGAAATTGTCAACAAAAATTAACGTAAACTAAATGCAAATTTACTGCTTTTTGAAAAATAAAGCAAAGATGATGAACGACAAGGGAGAAAAAAAGAACATACATGGGTATATACAAGCAAGAGTTGGTTGTTAGTTGCCAGCAGCACACCAGCTCCAGACAAACAATGACACCCAAAACTGTCCAGCTACTATAGCTTATATTACAACAATAGCCTATCTTGGTTCTGTGAAACACAGCAAAACCAATGTTACTCACATATGGAGCATGAAACATCGCAAACTTGGCATCCGTTTTCAGGCCTTCCTGCTTCAGTCTCTCCAGCGCTGGAAAGCTTTTCTAATATTAACGAGGGTCCCAAAGCTCTTTCCTGTTTAAAACCCCTTTTTCCAGTGATATTTCTCTGACCGTTTCTCTTTAGTAATGTCTCTCAGCCATCTTTCTTTCTACAGTCTTTCTTCAAATCTCCCTCTTGCTCACTCTCGCTCCTCCCCCATCATGAGTGGACACGCCCCTTACTGCTGATTGGCTACAAGTGTGTTGTGGTGCTCGGTCAGATCCACTTTCAACAGTGTTTCTTAGAAATCGCTTATAGGAAGGGTGGAAAAATGGATGCAGCAAGCACAAATAAAGCGTTTGCTAAATGGTAGGGTTAAGTCATGGTAGTTTGTTTTGACAGACTATATGCTAATATTGAATCTGCATATAGTACATCTTACTGCATCTTTAAGTTAGTAGAAATGCTGACTTAAAGATGCAGTAAGATGCACTAGATGGAGATTCCACATTAGCATCTGTCAAAGTGAACTACCAATGACCTAAACCTACCATTTAGCAAATGCTTTATTTATGCTTAAAGTTGCTTGCTGCATCCATTTTTCCACCCTTCCCATTGGGCTACAAACGACATGATTATAGTCATTCTGTGTGACATACCACTTCCTCTTGCAGTGTTTTACTAAGGGGCAGGCAGACAGTTTCTCCTATTTTAACTTAATATTTAAGGCAACAAAAGTGGAAGGTCCCTCTGGCAGAGTGCCAAATAACAGGTCAATAAGTCCAGACTCTGCGGCTTCAGTCCTTTTCCTTTCAGGCACTAAAGTATGCCCTCCACCCCCTTGCCTAAACACACCCAACCTTTCACTTGTTCTTCACCATTTACTCAAACACTTTACAACCATTCCATTCTGGTTCATCATTCTGAGTGTTTCAGAATAACTTACATGAAGCAGCCAAATCTGAAACTTCTCTGAACAGAAGTTGTGTCCCAAATGATCTACTACTCTTGACTCTTCCATCAAGTGTGTATGAATTTGAGAAGGTTATTTTGTCATCCAGGAGTCCGATAGCCCCTATACCGTTCTGCTATGTAAGGAAAGCTGCAACAGTTTCTGTTAATTACATGCATCATGTGGGTATTTTAAGTGTGCTTTCTTTTTTGGGAATTTTCAGTGTGAACAAACTACTCACACTATTTATATTACAAAGTGACGTAGAAAAGTGCATACGTAAGCGAACTGGGACTTACCAAGTAAGTTTTTGTGGTAACACTTTATTTTACAGTGTCCTTATTACACATGTTACATGTACTTACCATAGTAATAATAACAGAAAATTATGCATAATTACATGCAACTAACCCTAAACCAAATCCTAATCATACCCTAACCCTATAGTGAGTACATGTTGTTAATTAATATTACTCAGTACTTAAATCTATAATTACACTGTAACAATGACACCTTAAAATAAAGTGTAACCGTTTTTGTTTATGTTTATGTTTAGTTCTCCATAATACACTACCAGTCGTTTTGAACTTCATACTGACACCTACCAGCCTGGATGCATTAAGTTTGTTTACTAACTGTTTCCACATCACAACACTGTTTATTGTGATTGTACATTTTATTTTGAATACTAATATGATATTGATATTTCTTTCAAAAGAGAGAGAGAGAGAGAGAGATGGACAAATAAAAATGCTATTAATTTATAACAAAATGTGTAAAAATAATAATAATAAAGAAGAATTAGCCAAATTGATTATTGAATGCATCTTTAAAGTAATTTAAAAGTCTAATAATGTGAAAAAGTTTTGAAATATTTGCAATATAAATATAGAAAAACTATAAACTGATTTTACATCATGCATTAAATTCACAAAAACTTATATAGGCTAATAAGTCCTTTATAAAAAGGACTCTAAATAAAATAAATCATGCAAATGAAAGTGTTTTAAAGAAATTAATATCAGTAGCATACTTGGACACGCTTTGCTTGTATGCTAATAATAAATCACAGTTTCATAAACACAAGCATCTTTAGGTAAAAAACAACTGTCTGAAAATAAAAAGAACAGCTTATTATTGTTAGTTTAATAACATTTATTTTTATTTTAACTGCTAACGGAGCATTTTTACACATGGGCATACCATCGCAGACATCCGATCCAAGCTCGCTAGGTAAACTTCACCGCAAAACTTGCATGTTAAACTTTAAGGTAAGTCCAATTCAAGATGACTTGTTATCATCCTGGAAAAGATAAAGTACCCACCGGTGCATACGCTCAATAGAAGTCCGAGGAGGGGTAGAAGCCCATTGAAAAACGTGCTATTCCCAAAGATGTGTCTTACTTCCTCTGCCATGGTTTCTGACTGACTGCAGTAGTAGTGAGTTCCTCCTCGGTGTCTGATCCACACACACACACACACACACAGCAGCCGAACCGCGCGTGGGCGGAACCTTCAGTCCAGCAGTGGTTTGTTTCCGACTAAAAATAAACTCGTCAAAAACGCAGGGCATTGCTTGCGATGCAGTTAGCATTTACACTCGTTCAGAGACAAAATGATTGATGGCATTATAATAACAGCTTCGAATTAATGGAAAAAACAAGGCTGCGCAAAGTTAAAAAGCAAAAGAGTGTCCCGGGATATCTTTAGGATATTTTAAAGCTCCTTTAATTGATATCAATAGTCTCATTAATGTTGTCTTCTTCAACTTCATTTAGTCGTGCTGGAATTGCTAAAATGTTCCTTGTAACATTACACAACTGGACATTGGAATGGCTTGGCTCAATGGGGTGCTGGGAGATGTCGCCCAGTTCACTCAGATTAAAGAGTGAGCCATGCTGGGCACGCTTTTCATGATCCTTGTGTTTTATTTATGTCTTTCAAAAGTGATAAATCCCCAGCTGAGTGGTGCCATTTACACCAATCAATCATTTTTATTGGTCCTCGATCTTCTGAATGTTACTCCTCAAATGCAAAGACTTCTGGAACTTGATACACATACAGACAAATATTTTCGTGGAGTTCGTGAATCGTGGAGAAGAGAGAACATATCGATTTTTTTAAGCAATTTTAAAACAATTTCTAACGATCTGCAGAACATTAAATAATGTAGCATTGCTAGTTTGTTTTTAAAGGTAGTTATTATAAAGTGTTAAAGGGAAAGTTCGTAAAGGTCGAAAACTCTTTGGATTCTCAGTAATTAATACAGGCCATTAAGTCTTAAAGGGACAAAGAAAGGACAATTTTGTCATTACTTACCCTTAAGTTGTTCTAAACCTATATGAGTTTCTTTCTTCCGTTGAACATAAAGGAAGATATTTTAAAGAATGTTGGTTATCAAAAATTTTACAGCACCCATTGCCTTCCATAGTAATTTTTCCTACTATGAAAGATCAGGGTGCCGTCAACTGTCTGGTTTCCAACATTCTTTAAAATATCTTCTTTTGTATTCAACAGAAGAAAGAAACTCATACAGGGTTAGAACAACTTGAGGGTGAGTATAAGTAATGACAAAGTTTTCATTGTTGGGTGAATTATCCCTTGAATGATTGGAATCAATGAATATGTCTGTAGGAAAGAAACACATCATTGTGCTGGAATATACGCTGATACTGAATGAAACTTAAGTTTGAAGAACCTGTTGTATCAGTGTCAAATAAAAAGATAAACTTTTTAGGCTGAAAGACAGTCTCAGTTACCGTTGATTTTATTATATGGAAATATGATGCAATGAAAGTGAATAACAGGTTTCCATTCTGCATAACTTCTATTTTTGTGTCCAAAACAAGAAAGAAAAAAAACCTCATAGTAAATGCTTTTAGAAATCTAATCCATTTTTAGTGTACTACTACTATCCCTACAACATCTTTATTAAAGTTAATAACTGAAGGAACAGACTTCTGTATTGTAATTAGACTAAAATATAATTTTAGTCTAAACAATGTTTATTTCTGACATCATTCTCCCAAACATTCTTTTCCATAATAAAGCATGCCATCGCCCTCTGTTGGTTAAATCTTTGAACTTCAACATGAAACTCACTAAATTAAAGCATCTTTAACTGTAATTTAATGATAAAACACATGATAATTATAATAAATGATAATGTCATTAAATAAGTTTATGTTTGAATGACACAAAATATTATAAATGTACAAATCAATTCACTGTCAAGCAGCAAGGCACCATAATTCAGTTCTATTGAATGGAATTCAAACACTTTGCAAAAACTGTTCTGAATAAATTCTCCATTTATTAAGATAATAAATAGCAGGTGATCTCTTAAAAATATAAAACAGATTGATTGCAACTTTGTAGAAATACATTGAAATTATATCACAGGATGATGTGATATTACAATGTTGCATTAACTCATATCATGTAATTGCATCAAAAAATAAACAATATGAAAATATATACATATATACAAATACCAAAACAAATGTTATTTCTAAAGCAATCTATGGATCTTACAAGCTGTGTTAACAACTTTAACAGGTACTACAAGTTATTTTAAATAAATTACATTTGTTAGACTTTAACCTGTTCTATTGTTATAAACACACATTATGTGGATTAAATGAGGCCTTTAAAATCAGGACTTTTTAATTCCATAACCAATACTCATTGCAAAATGCAAATTCATGTCAAAGTGCATTCTGGATTCAGTCATACTCATTGAGTGATTCACTGCTTGCTACAGAATTGCAAACTCAAGAACATTTGTATTTGTTCTAGTCCTCACGAAGGTAGGCCTCTGGAATATCTTCCAGGTCATTAATGTCAATGCTGGACACATATTCAGCCATTCTCTGGATTTCTTCTGCTTTAGTCTCAGCCAGTTTTTTCTTTGCTTCTCTTGAGATCTTTCTAATCTCCTCCACTTTGGACTGTGCCACCTGCAGGTTAGTCTTTGTAGCTGTGCATGCATGCTCTGCCCCTGTAAAAATATCAGGATTGAATCAATTCACAGCCTGGATCAATCTCGTACAAGAAGTGTTTTTTTAATGGATTGTAATAAATAAGGCCAATTGATAAACATACCTGAATTGTATGCTGCCTCTGCTGACAACTCACAGATGTGGATGGCATTCATCCAGTTTGACTCAAAGCGTTTACATTCTTCCAATCTATCACTAACCTGACAAAAGAGAGAAACATCGTGAAAGCTCTGAAATGGAGTCGTCTTCAGTTAGATGGAACTACTTCAGATATCAACAAGGTCTGCTAATCAGTCTTACTAATCATTATTCATGTTGTCGCAAAAGGTAAACAACACTTAGATAAACGAAAGCAGACCTTGTTCTACAAAATGTAAACAAACATTTAAATGAACAGAATTTACCTCTACTCGCTGGCCAATGATCACCTGCCAAATGCTGTCCTCTTCAGCAGGGGTCAGTTTTCCTATTGAGGTAATGTATCGCTTCTGAAGGGCAATGAGTGTATGTAGTGCCTGAGAAAAGTTTAAACAATATTTTAGTCATCAATCAAGTCTCCACATTGTGAAGTTTTACTGAGTGGACTAAAGTTTAAAAATGCAGTGTTTATAAGTATTACCTTTGCATATTGTGTGTGGGCATCCACAAGGGCCAGCGTTGTCTGAGAGAGGTATGTGTTGGCACTGTCTGTGACCAGACAAGAGGCCCGACGAATCAAGGATTCATGCGAGAGGTTTTCAACCTGCTGGAGAAAAAAGGGATGCGTTTCATTACACTTGCCATAATGGTCAAGAATAAGATCGGGAACTCTTTTTTCGATTTTTGTAAATGACTCTTGAGTTGGTTCTTTTTAATGAATCAGAAATGTACAGTGTGACAAGCTCCGAGACAAATGACTCTTTTGAGCCGATTCTTTTTAGTGAATCAACAACACATGAAACTGAGTCAGAGCGGAAAATTAACATGACTCGCATAACCAGATTAACCACACAATTTCAATAAGAAAACCATTTGATTTGGCAACAATTATTAAAAAGTAGAGAATCATTAAAGGGATAGTTCACCCAAAAATTTAAATTGTCATCATTTACGCACCCTCGAGTCATGTTGTTCCAAACCTGTAAGAGTTTCTTTCTTCTGTTGAACACAAAAGAAGATATTTTAAAGAATGCTGGTAACAGTTGACTGTAGCCATTGACTTCCAGGGAAAAATTGCTATGGAAGTCAATGGGGCCCATTAACTGTTTGATTACCAACATTCTTAAAAAATATCGACTGTTCAACAGAAAAAATAAACTAATACAGCCAGGGTTGGAACAACTTGAGGGTGATTGAATGTTAAAATTTTAATTTTTAGGTAGTGGTAAATTCAGGGTGATATATAGGGACATAACTTGGAAAAAGTACCCAATCAACCTGAATTCACCCTAACCATGCTGTCAACGCTCGGCTCTCCATTTGTGCGTTTTACAAGTTTGTCAATTGCTCAGTGTCTATAGCGTAAATGCAAAATTTAAACATATGTTTACATTAGTTACCTGTGTGAAAGGAACAGCACAGAGGCCGCTGCTGACACTGAACGCAACTGCTTTGGATCGGGCAAGGCGCAGGAGACGCTGATGAACCGGGCTGCTGCAGAACACATTGGTCTTGTCCCTTTGATATAACAAAATAAATTAGACTGAGCATATGACTTCATTTAAAATAACACCCTAATACGCATATCCACCACGACATTAAAATCGTAACAAAAACTTTTTTTTTTTAAATGCCCGCAATCTTACTTGAGAAGTTGAACGCACGCAGCGCTGACTCGCAGCACAGACATGTTTCTCCGGGCTACCAGGAAGTCGGTCCGACCTTTAAAAAGATTCCCACTAGCACACAAACCACAGTTTCTAAAAGCCTGCATATTGCCTTGGCTTACAGTCTTTTACTAATAAAAAATAAAATACTATTCGTAGATTTATCCCTTAAGCCTGTATTTTTCTTAAAGTAGCCTAAAGCTCTTGCAATTTTTAAAGTTGACAGCACTGCCCACCAGTATTTATATACTGCTAAGGACTCTGCCCTGCATGCATTGATCCGTTTATTCGGACCTTTAATCTTGATTTTAGCGGTTTAAGTTCAAGGAAAGATAGGGGTTGACGCACATTTACACACTGCGTCAGAACAAATGTTGTATAACAGGCTGTGGTAAACAGTGAGGTCTTAGTGGTTGTTTTGCAGTAGGCTATGGTGACGCAGCTAGCTATCGGGTTTTGAGAACAGCCATTGATGAGCATGGCCTGCACGTACAGTAGGGTTGCCAATTTCAGAAAAGGAAAATAAGAGACAATCGTGGTTCTTTGAAAATAAGTGACACTCAAAATATTTGTAGCCTACTGTAGCCTACCACACAGCTCAGTGTCTATTGTTTCTCAGATAGGCTATAAACACATATGTTTTGCTTAACCTATTTATACACAACTTAATCCTAAAAAGAATTTTAACATCATAGAAATAAATGTCACATACAAATCACTGAAAGTTTTTGTAGCATTATACACTACCATTCAAAAGTTTGGGGTCAGTAAGAATAAAAAAAAAAAAGAAATTAATGCATTAAATTAGTCAAAGTGACAGTAAAGACATTTTAATATTAGAAAAGCTTTCTATTTTAGATTAATGCTGTTCTTTTGAACTTTCAATTTGAACACACTTGTCGCTCGTCTACATTTAAAATAACGAATAACGGCCACTTAATGAGTGGTTAGATATGAGCGGGACAAGAGAGGTCATGTTTGGGAAAAATCAATCAGGCCCAATATAAGGGACGTTCCGGCTAATACGGGACAATTGGCAACCCTACCTACACGTCTCAAAGGGGTGTGGCAGAAAAACAAGTCCACATGATAAGAAAAAAATACTTAGTGGGCAAAAATATATCTATCAAGCAACATAAGGAGCCATAGCTACTGTGTGTTTACTTTGGGGTAGATAACTGAAGAAAGCTCTTGATAAACCAATTCAATCGACCACAACTTATCTTCCAGCTTTGAACAGTGAGAGTGAATTGGTCAGAACAGTTTCTCAGCTCTTCCCCATCTCATCTGAGACAATTAATCAGGACGATTTGTTGGCTAATGTCCTTGTTGTCATATATATATATATATATATATATATATATATATATATATATATATATATATATATATATACCATTTTTTTCCACTTTATTTGTATCTGCATAAATACAAGAATGAAATTATGTTAACTGAAATCATAAGTTTTTTTATTGCTACATAAATATTTGAAGCTTATTGATAATGTATATGATCAATGTTGATTATTTATTTCTCAAGGATGAGTCATGGTATGTCTCGAATAGGCTGTGTGTTTTAGATATTATATGGGCATAAATATTGGGAAACCTGACACCAATATGGACTGTAATCATATTGTATTCAATCTACATTATGTTGCTTCCCCGTTTGTAGCCATAACAGCTTCCACTCTTCTAAGGCTTTCCACAAGATTTCTTTGGGAATTTTCTGAAGTTTCTGTGGACATATTTGCCCATTCATCCAGTATAAAATTTGTGAGGTCAGGCACTGATGTTGGACAAGAAGGCAATCTCGGATACATTTCATACCAAACATGTTTGATGGGCTCCGTGCGGGCCAGTGAAGTTCTTTCACACCAAACTCATCCAACCATGTCTTTACGGACTTTGCTTTGTGCACTGGTGCACAGTCATGCTGGAATAGAAAAGGGCCTTCCCCAAACTCTTACCGCAAACTTGGAAGCATAGCATTGTCCAATATGTCTTGGTATGTTGAAGCATTAAGATTTCCTTTCACTGGAAGTAATGGGCCTAGCACAACCCCTGAAAAACTAGTATCATACCATTATTCCCTCTCCACCAAACTTTACAGTTGGCACAATGAAGTCAGCAGGTAACGTTCTCCTGGCATCTGCCCAAACCAGATTCAGCCATTAGACTGCCAAACAGAGAAGCGTGATTTGTCACTCCACAGAACATGTTTCCACTACTCAGAGTCCAGAAGCGGTGTGCTTAACACCACTCCATCTGACGCTTAGCATTGTACATGGTGATGTGAGGCTTGCATGCAACTGCTTAACCATGGAAAGCCAAATGTGTCCAAAACGGGGAAATTCACTGCTTGAAAGATTTATATATATATTTATATATATATTTTTATATATAAAAATCAGTAAGGAACATACTTTATAATGTAAAAAAAAAAAAATACATTACATATAATGCATATTGTATTTTTTTTTTTACATTATAAAGTATGTTCCTTACTGATTTTTATTAAAATGTTCACATGTGTTATAGACAAATAACGTTTTTCTTCAAATGTGAAATATATGTGAAAATATCATTTAAAATATATATTTACCATATGGGTATCAGCTGAGCATTGGCAACTTTTCATGCGCCTCAGCACTCTGTGACCCCGCTCTGTGACTTCACATGGTCTTCATGTGAATAATTGTTTTCTATTTTATTATATTTTAAAATGTGTCAATTTCTCAGTGTCACATGATTATTCATTCTAATATTATAATGTACACACACTTCCCTCCATATAGACATTTTATATATAAAATGTGTGAGTGTTTGGACATTTATGCAATTTTAGTTTCATTTACCATGATGAATGCAACTATGTCCCAATTATATTTCCTTTTGGCCAGTATTGTTGCTGCACTTTTAAAAACCTTTGTATCATATAGAAAGTTCAGTTTGTCTGTAAGTTTAATGGTGAAAAAACCTATCCCACAAAACCACTTGGCTCCATAAAATGTAAAAAAAAAAAAAAAAAACTCTCAAGCGAGTTCAGCACTTATCTCATGCAGCAGTATAAGAATGTACACATAAACAAAAAGTTTATAGAGCTCAGGGTTCAAACCACAAGACTAAACAGAAATCACAATAAAGGCTGTTTGGAAGTCAGGATTGCATCCTGTCACAGTGGCATGCAAAGGCCACAAAACATTAGACAATAAACATTTTGGCATTATCACTTTTAAGTTTTATTTGCACGATGTTTCTGTTAGGGTATTTGTTTATGTATTGTGCATACAGTACATGTTTGAGATGCTGAAACCACTCTGGTTCAGACTTAAGGGCTGTTTCTTTGTAATGTTATAATCTAATGATTGCAATGAACATATCTACAAAATAGTGTGTTAAACCATTTTGTGAGTAATATGTGTTTATATTAAAGGAGATATGAGCCTTGCAGCATCACATAAACTGTACTGATTTGATAGTGTTGCTTAACAACAAAGCTGTGTGTGTAATGTTTTACATTTTGGCACATCATATTTATCAAGTAAGACGTGACACTTGTAGTAACCGCTGACAGGTCTATTGATATTTTCCTAAGATGCCTCAGAAAGAAAGTGTGCTGCATCCAGGCTGGCATAACATTACAGACATTACACATGAAAAACATTTTGAAAACCAAAACAACAGAAATTCTAAATCCAAAATGTAAATTTGTTGAGCTTGAATCATTGTTTATTTGTGTATATTTACATTACTGTATGTTAGATTGACATGATGTTCACTTACAGGATGCAAAAGACCCCGTAAACGCTTACTGTGTGTGTTAAGTGCTTTCCATATGTAGATTATATTTATACATACATTTTTTTTTACTTTGACATGTATGTAATGTAAAGAAAATAATGCTCAATCGAGCCAATAGAGGTCACTATTAAGCAATATACTGCTTCTGAGAGGCACCGTCCAAAGACCTTATTAGCCAGACAAATAAAAACTCTGGATGTCTCTCTTAACGGGATAGCTCACCCAAAAATGAAAAAAATTTGTCATCATTTACTCACCCTCATGTTGTTACAAATCTGTATGAATAACCAGACAGTTGACGGTGCCCATTGACTTCCATAGTATTTTACTATGGAAGTCAAAGGGCGCCGTCAACTGTCTGGTTACCAACATTCTTTAAAATATCTTCTTTTGTGTTCGACAGAAGAAAGAAACTTATACATGTTTGGAAAAACTTGAGGGTGAGGGTGGGTGAACTATCCCTTTAAAGGGGTCATATAATGGTACATGCACTTTTACAAGTTGATTGTACTGAAATGTGTGTTGGCAGTGCCTGTACACAACCATCATAAAATGATAAAAATCCATCCAGTGTTTTTGTTTTAATCTCCTTATATGTTTTCCCCTGTCTCAAATCAAGCCGTTCGACCTTGTGACGTCACACGCTCGGAAGCCCCTCCCACGATTGTTGATTGACAGCAACGTTTCAACACAGAACCGCCCTCGCTCGTGAGCGAGCTGTCAATCATAGTCTGCGCGGACTGTCGCGGTCATTGTTGATATGCTGGAGCACTGTCTATGAGCAGAATGGTGTCTAAGCGATTGTGGTGTTCTGTTCTTGGGTGCAATAACGAACACAGCAGTCATTTTAATGTTCCTAAATCCGAACCGCTGAAGACGCAGTGGCTGAGTTTGTTTTCGAAGGGAATATTCCCCACGAGCAACGTCAATGCTCTCATGTTTGCGCGAATCATTTCTCACCAGACTGCTTTATAAACGAGGGTCAGTAGCTATAAAGCTGGTTTTGCTAAGAAGCTGCTCATGAAAAAAGGATCGGTACCAGCTATTCGTGTTCCTGCTGAACCTCTATAACAACTGAAGTGAGTGTAACGTTTTATTAAACTTTATATTAATATTTATATTAATCTTTGCAAATTGCTAGCTGTACGCTTCACTATGAATGCGTCTAAGGTTTACACTCACTCAGGGTACATTACGGCATGTTTTCTATGTATGATGTTCTCAATATAATTCATAATCCCACGTTTATACTGAACAACGCGTTATGGTTATTGTGTTATTGTGTTACAAACGGTGTACGGCACGCACAGAACAGAGGGGCGGGGTGAGCAAAGCTCATTATCATTTAAAGTCACATGCACTGAAACGGCGTGCTGAAAAGAGAGCTGTTTTTGACCAAGTAAAATAA